GTCTTTCTTGTAGGCTACTTTGGTCTCCTCAGTATTCAGTAAGTACTAGCTTCAGTGCATCTTTTTCGCTATCCTTCAGATATTCTTCCAATGCCCTTTTTTATTCTTTAGCTGTCTGGTTGTAATGGTATGTGGGAATGACCTTGGGAGATGGCGGAAGAGATGCTGCCTAGGGAACAATCAGATAAGAGAGGGTATAGCCCACAGCTGGATAACGGGAAGAGAAAGAAACTCAGAAAGGAACCTCCCTAACTTATCAAGCTGTAAAAGAGACAGCAGGTTTCTACTTTCAGACTTGCAAGGTTCTGTTAATGTAGCCTTAAATAAAGTAGGATTAGCTCATCTGGTCATGTTTCCTGTCTGGGAAGGCTGACACTACTGTACTTGCAACATTCCATGCCCACCTATGCTCCTTGATAAGTAGAGTCTGTCAACATCACTGCATGGAAGAAGGGCATGATTCATTATCATTATTTTTCTGGTCTTCCTATCCAGAGCTTCTAGTTCAACTTCAGTCCACTATTCCAGTTGTGTACCTAATGACAGGAATTGCCCAGGTGTTAATCACCTTGATGGTATTCTTCTACTGAGTTTGGACTTTAAGATCTTCTTCACTCTCATGATGTATTCACTGCTAACCTTCTACTTGACTTCAATATGCTTGATGTCAGCTTGAAGGATGCCAATGTATTTGTAGTGATCTTCTTCATCCAGACTCTTGATGTTATTTCCATAGGGCATCTTGATTTCTTCAGTTTTCACTATTTTTCCCCTGTTGATGGTAAGGGTGGTACATTTGTCCAGCCCAAACTCCACTGCAATATCTTGGCTGTATATTTGGACAGCATTGAGCAGCGATTCTATTTCAGATGGTGTTTTTCCATACAGCTTCAGATTGTCCATGCAAAGGAGGTAGGACAATCTGGCAGATGTTTTTGATGTTTGATAACCACGGCCTGACTTGTTTAGTATTGTTGACAGAAGAATCAATGCTATGACAAACAGCAGTGGTGATAGTGAGTCTTTTTGAAAGATTCCTCTCTTGACATTAACCTATCCCAGTCTATCACTATTGACCAGCAACTATGTCTTCCATTGTCCCATTGATCTTTGCACAAAGCTTCTGATGTTTCTACAGACTCCTGTTGTTTCTAGGCACTTGGTTATCCAGTCATGTGGCAGGGAGTCGAATGCCTTCTTGTAATCAATCCAAGCTACATTCAAGTTGGTGCTCCTTCTCTTGCAGTTTTCCAAAATCATCTCATCAATTAGGAGCTGATTTTTTTTTTCCCTCTCTCTCTCTGCTGTTTGGACAGTTTCCTTTCTGCTCAAATGGAATGAACTTATTTTCAACCAGATGGTGTTGGACTGCATCAGCTATAACACAAGTTAGCAATTTGAAAGTTGTTGGTAGGCAGGTAATTGGCCTGTAGTTGCATGGTGCTCCCCTTTTTGTTGGATCTTTCATTATCAGGTAGATTTTGCCAGATGTTAACCAATCTTCAATTTCACCTCCTTGCAGTATGTTGTTAAACTGCTTGGCTGTGATTGGGTGCAAACCAGTCAGTTGTTTCTACCAAAAACCATGCAGTTCATTTTCACCTGGAGTTGACCAATTCTTGACCCTCCTTGCCCTTCTCTCCACCATTTCCGCTTTTATTACAAGTTCTTTCATTTCAGCTTCTTTTTTTCTTATCCACCTCCCTTATCCAAGTTGCATTCTTGTTGATTTTCTCTGGGTTGTCCCATAGCTGTGCCCAGAACTGCACTGTTTCTTCTTTGTCAGGTGTTGACTGGTTCATTGCAGTCTCTCCATTGATGGATTGGTAGAAACATTTCTGATTCAACTGAAATTGAAGATTCTGCCTGTAGCGTGCAATGGCTGTTATTTGCTGCTTTATTATTTCCAATGTTTGCTTGATCTCCCTTGCTTCTAGGTGATATTTCCTGATCAGGCAGTCTTTGGTCTTCATGTTCTTCAGCCTCTTTTCTTTCATCTGTTCTAGCTTGCTTATCATCTGATCTTAGCATGCTGATCTTATTTTCCAACCTGTTCTTCCATTTTGGCTTCCATGATGCACTGTTTGGCCTTTTTTCTTGTTTGTTGATTTTGCACTCAAGGTCTTCAGTTATAACTGCAGGTGTGCTGTACATCAGTTGGTTTGTTTCTGGCAATGCGCTGGTGCTTATATTTGATATTACAGTATTGACATTTTTTAATACTTATGCTAGCTGTTTTTTGTAACAAGCTTCAATGCAGACAATCTTATTCTGTTGTTTTTGTGCTGTTTTAGATGCTCATTTATTCTTTGTTTCAGTTCCTCTTGTTTTTCAGTTAGAGAACTTTGTTCTTTCTGAAGAGAAGACAAAGGAGAGTGTGCCTGGTTTGGGAATAAAAATGGTTCAGTAGAGATGCTGTCTTCCTCTACTGCCAACTCCCTCTCTTTTGCCTCTACTATCTGAGCTACTTCTGGCAAGGCTTCAAATTCTTTACCCTGAGTAGACCTTTGCAGTTCTTCCAATTCTACTTCTGTGAATACTTTATTCTGTATTATAAATCAGTGTTGATCTGCTAGTCTCTGTTCTG